TTCATTCATTCCGTCTGTCCACACTTGAAGTTAGTCGTATTTTGTTCCTTTTGTTTTTCTAAAATTTTGACAATTCTTGATTTCGTAATATTTTATGGTTAACGCAACGGATATTTTTATTCATCGTCATTAATTAAGTCATATACTAAGTGACAGTTTATAGTAAAAAAAAATATTGTTCATTGTGTGCAGCACCAGTATATTTCCTACTTGGTATTTATAAAAAAAAAAGTTTCAATTATAATATAATTTTTATTATTATTTATAAATGTATTATATTATATTTACATTTTTTTAAATATATAATAATTATTACAGATATTTAGAACATTTTAACTTATAATTATTATTTCTTTCATTATTTTTTCATTATTCATTATTATTAATTTGCTTTTATTATTAATTATTAAATTGTTATATTTTTTATCTGTAAACAATATAAAAATAGTTTGCTTTTTTAAAAAATTTTCAATTTAATTTTAATTTTTAATTTAAGTTTAAAGTTTAAAACATTACAAAGTTTTTTTTAGGTTTTATTTTTTCAAAATTTTTAAATATTTTTTATAACATCAAACTCATTTTTTTCTGTGTATAAATAAATGATAACGTGAAAATTAGAAATATACCTATTATTAATTTATTACTCCACTGATGCAGAATTATTATTAATATTATTATTATTATTTTAAAACAGCCAGTGCATTTAAAGTTGGACGTGCGCGTGTAATTTTGCTAGTATGTTTATAATTTTAATATAAAGGTTTTTAAAGAATGTTTTGGATACTTCAACAATTGAACAAAATTAAGTATCAAAACATTATATTGTGCAACTCATCAGATATTTGATTGTATAATGAATGAGGAGAATTGAGTTGAGCGAAAAAAAAAACCGGTTTACAAAGTCGTTGATGAATCATATATACCTATACAATCTTAAAACAGATGTGAATTCATCCAAGTTCATCTCCTTTGATATCTTTAAATTTTTAAGTGCAATTGTCACATTATTATTATTATTTTATTTTTTACTGTATTTGCATTGAAAAATGATTTGGTGAAATTTTTTGAAACTTCGTAGTTTTGCAGTTCTTGAAATTAAAAAAAAAAATTAATTTTTCTCCTTTTTATTTTTTTTAATTTTGATTTTAAATTTCAAATAAAATTTTCAATAAATTTCAAAATTTCTTTTTTAATATTTACTAATACTCCTAAAGTTATTATCAGTTTTTAAAAATGTATTTTGAAATGTATTAAAATTTTATAATTTTTTTTAATTTAATTTATAAAAATATGTTGGGAAAAATTCAAATTTTTTTTTTTCATTCATTTTCGTGAACTTTTTTTTCAACAAACATATAATTATTTATGAACTCTTGTCTCAATTTATGATTTTTAATTTCTAGGACGCGTAGTCTTTGCAATAAAAGTTGTCTGTTTATTTTATTTTTTTTTTTCACCCAAGTCTTACTCAATAAATTCAGTGCGTTCACCATACAGTATTTTTTATGCGCGTCAAGATAATAACTAAAGATAAAAGAAAATATAGAAGGAGATGTAGCTTATGGATAATGTAAGTTTACATTATGTATTTTCAATTTATGGAATAGCGATTTTTTTTTACCTTCGACTATACAGGACACAACATTTTCTCATAAATTTTCTATATTGATTTTCATTAGATATAGCTGAGGAAAATTTTAATTTTTCTCTCACGCAAAATTAATTCTTTATGCGTATATATATTAAAAAATTTTGACTACTATTTTTTGAAAATTTTTTTTATTTTAAAAAAATTTTTTATTTATTTAATATTGATATTGATATTATTTTTTTCATTCTTTTTTTAAAGTACTTTTTTTTTGATTTAAAGAAAATTTTCTTTTAATTTAAAGAAGTTTCAATTTTTAAAATTTTATTTCATAAAAATAGAATAAAAAATAAAATTAAAAAATCATTTAATATGTTTCATGTTTCTTTAATTAATTTTTTGTGCTACTATCAAGGTCACGGTAACACCCACCGGATTTAATAAATATAGTGTTATATTGACCTCAGCATTTGATAAAAAAAATAAATGATTTGGTTTTCACTCTCAAAAGTTAAAAATATCTCCAGATTTTTTTTTTTAAATTGTTAATATGTTGACGACTTGAACCGGATTTTTGTAACTACATACTTACCTTTGAAACACCTTGAACAAAATTAACTATACTTTTTCCATTGTGAAAAACTAAATCTAGGTCATATTCTTTTTTATGTTCACCATTATCTTATAAATATTAGTTTCAATCTTTCTTTTCTTGGAAAAAAAATAACTAAAAAAAAATTATTTCTCATTAAAAACCTAAAAAAAAAGTATCTATTACTTTAACTGGAGATAGGAAAAAATTTTTTTAAATAATTTTTTATAGGCACTGAAAATAAAAATTTTTCAAATTATAATTTATTAGAAAATTTAACAAATATTTTTTACTGTCCAGGAAACTTAAAATTATGTATTAATTAGATACTTTATAAAGAGTATCTTCTATTTTTATTTGTTAATTTTTTTATATTATTAATGTATGCTATAAATAAAACACTAAGAATAAGATATAAAAATGTTGCCTGCGAGGGGAATCGAACCCTGAACCCTAGGAACCTAAATCGGATACGTAGACCACACAGCCATATTGAAACCTTTTATCAATAATTGATTTAATCAACTTGTAGCTTCATGAGTACTTTTTCGACGTCGCAAATTAATAAATATCTCTACAATAATAATTAAATTATTTTTTTTATGTAATAAATTTTTCCGGAAATTATTATTTAATCTTGAAAAAAATGAGACAAAAATAATAAATTAAAATAAATGAAAAAAAACTGAGAAAGTGTATCCTCAAAAATTTTCCAAGAAATGAATACTTGATGAGTCAACAAAATCAGGTTTCACAACAATTTAGAGACAAATATAAATATATATGTGTAAAATGCAAACAAAACTGAAATAAAAGATGGAGATTGTATTTTATCTATATTCATTGAAAGGGAAAGATAATTTTTGCAAATAAAATGATGCACTATCGATAGATAGTAATAATGGAGGCTGCGTATACAAAAATTTTTTTTTTTTTTGTTTAAAATCCTCTGTAACTAATCTGTGAAGTTCCGTGCTCCTGTCGTGGTTTGGTCGGTTGCTGTATGATAGTGTGTGGGATTGGTGAAGGAGGGGGCTGCAGTTGACTGCGGAGAAGGACAGAGAATGCTCGGTCCTCGGTCGTGGCTGGTACCACCATTCTCCCGTTCCTCCTCTCGTATTTATTCCCCCGAATCTCTCTCCTCTAACATCCCAGCTCCCACGTTTACATATCAACACAGAATCCAAAGATCATTTTTATGTATAAATATAAATGTAACAGATTAATTAATAGTAATTATTAAATTAATATTTAGAATTTGTTAATTTAATTATTAAATTACACTTTCCCAAAAATTAGAAGAAAAATTGTAATTGTTTATTATTGAAGCTACTTTTTTCCAAATTTTAATGGTCGCTTTATGACTCCAGCAGTACTTGACAACATCGGGAAATTTCGTATGTGACACGAGTATTTTTGACGAAAAGTAAACAAAACGATCTTCCTAAATAAATACCAGCGAAGTTCAAAAAGTAAAGGTATAAATGAGATTAAAATCAAAAAGTCATCAAAATTGATAATAATCGTCGATAAGTAGCAATTTTAAAATTCAAAAATTTTCCTAAATTCAAACATCTTAATGTATGTATTAAAAAATTTTTGTAGGTTAGAAAATATTTTTTTGTATTTCTTTTTAATTTAATGAATGTAATTTAATTTCTCTCTCAAAATATTGGGTAAATAAATTTCAAAAATATATTCGCAAATAAATATTAAGGAAAATATATGAATCAAAAGTAAAAAAAATATTTTTCACACCGCCCATAACAAAAACTGCACTTTCTACAGCTCTGTAGAGCTTCGAAAGTAGCCAATGGCAGACGAGATCTCATTTGTCCACTTTCTTCACGCTAGATAATCAATTTTCTTCTCTAGGGAGGAAAGTTGATGACGTAGCGGGAGGAAAGAAAATCTGGACCTTGTATAACAGATATATAAATAATTATTAAATAAAATGTAATAATAATTAGAAATCGGCCGGTAAATATTTGTACTAAATATTATCGCGCGTCGATAAACATGTTACCGACCGCGGAGCACAAAGACGTAGTACCCGATTTCGCCGCGCGGGCCGCATCGCCAAAGCTCACTCACATGCGCCCAGCCCACCGATCGGCTATATAAGCTGCGCTCTCGCTGAGGACAGTCACTCTTCAAATGGGGTTTTTGAATTATTCTACCTTTTTACCCAAACAAAGAATATACAAATATTATTAAATATATATAAACTTTAATAAAATAAAGAAACATTCAGATAAGTTACTTAAAATAACAGGCGCTGAATATATATCTTAGAATTAAGAAATTTTTGTATAACTTTAATGTACAACTTTCAATGATAAATAAATATGGTTTTCAAAGTCAAAAAGGACAGTCACTCCCGTGCTACACGGAGTCCGAGTGGGTCTTACCCACCTGACTAGGAGTTTTACTCCGAGAATCTTTGTAGAGAGTTTTACTCTCGTTCGTCGGGTTTTACCCGTCGAACATTATATCGGTTTTGTGTGTATATAGTGTATAGTAACGAATTGTAAATTAACGTATCAAGATGTAAAGTAACGTAACAAATGTATAATAAAGAAATATTGTATTCCCGCAGTTTGAAATAGACCATTCCGTTCTTTTCGACGTTTTTAATCTCCGTTTTAGATATACTTAGAGTTTTACTCTTCGTATAATTAGAACACGAGTTTTACTCGTAGTTCACCAGAATATCGCGAATTTTTAGGCAGTCTTTTGTTCCTCTTCTTAGGTATTTTATAAATTATTTATACAAAATTAACTCAAATAAAGGAAATAAATAAAAATGGAAAGAAATAATTTCTTTTTACATAAAAATATAGTTTATTTATTTAATAATTTTTGTCATTAATTATAAAATACATAATTTTTGGAATAATACCAGTGGCGCTTTCAAGTATTCCAAATTTGAAGTACCTAAAGTGTATCTCTCTTTTATATTTAAAAACCTAATTGTTTTAAAAGTTGAATTGTTTTAAAATATTTTCTACATTGGTCATCTCTTCATGTATATTATCTATCTCTTTTTTTAAATATTCTCCCACGATCTTTAGTGGTTCTTCCGGTGACATAGTTTTGTCTTTAAAACGATCCGTTGGAAATTCATCTAAATCAAAGAAGAAAATTGTAATTATTTTATTACAATTATTTGTTATTAAAAAATTAAAATTCTTACTATCACTGATGTATAAAATTAACAAAATCTCACCTACGTTAAATTTTAACATTAGTTTTAAGAATTTCATTGAAATTTTAATTATAAAAAATTATATTTTTTTAAATTACTTAAGATATAAATTATTTTATTTACCTATAAATAAATTATTTAAAATAATAATTAATTAATTAAATGTGTAAAAAGATTATGAAAATAATTATTAAAAATGTAAATTAAAAATAAAAATGTAAAAACTTACTTATTCTTCTTGATTGTACGCTGACAAAAAAAAAGACAAGAATTAAAAGAAAACCAAAAAACTTCATGATGTGTGTATTTTTATTTATTTTTTTTTTTTAATGTTCACAACTCTAATGTAGTCAATGAATAAATGCAGTAAACTATTATGAAGAGTTTAATTTATATATTGGTCTTAAACAATTCTTTATCAATACATTTACATTGAATTTCTTTATTACGTTCAAATTTATCTCCCATAAGTATAAGAGTTAAAAATAATTATACTAAATTATCTCATTGACAACTTTCCCTGACAAAAGTTTAATTTTTCAATTATTTTTATATAATAATTAATTTGCAAAAAAAATAAATTATGTTTTTAAATAAAAAAAAATATATATATTTTTTTTAAATATTTAATAATTAATTAATATGCAATAAGCATATTAGAAAAAATTGACATTTTTTGCTAAATATAATTTTTTTTTAAACTCATTTTAATATTAATTAAGAAATAAAAAATTTTCTTTAAAAATAATAATAATAATAATAACGTTTTTTAGTATCTTTTTTTTTTATTGAAGCATTAAAATTTTCGAAGGGACTGTAGGTAAGTGAAATATTTATCTTATACTTTATTCGGAAAGACCCAGCATGAAACTTAATTTTTTTTTTACAGTATTTGGAATTTTGCGAAGGGAATTGCCCAGTACTGATGGAAGTATAATTTAGTTTTGGGGAATTTTTTTTTAGATAATCGTAATTTTACAAAACATAAACAAATAAATAACACTCACCCTTTATCAAAGACTTTAGAAACTTATGGGAAAATTTCACTAATTATAAGAACAAATTTTTTTTTCTATAATTAAAAAAATGTAAATTTTTCATTTATTTATTTCAATATACACCGGCTTTTTTTGTTATAGAAATTCTTAATCGTAATATATTATTGTATCATCTTTTTTTAAAAAAAAATTATCGTAAATTAATTTTTGTAATTTTTTAATCACAACTATAATTAATTTTTTTTTTAATAAATAAAAAAAAATTATAATAATTTATTATATTATGTATAATTTTGTTATATTTATATTATAATAATGTTATAATATTGTTATTACTTGTTGGAATTTATTATGAAATTTTTGTGAACCTTTATAATTATAAACTTGGTCCAAGAGTTTCGCAATATATTTATATGTATAAATTTGAATACTGCAAAACTCGAGAAATATAATACGAAACGGTCCGAATAGTGACCTTGAACTTGAATGAACAGCTGATTTCTCAGAAGGGTTCTCAATGCAAAGAATGGCTCATTTTTTCTCATTTTTCGTATTAGTAAACATTTTATTATTTTAATATTGTATCATTCATGATTTTTAATACAAATTTTCATCTTTTTATATACGTTTTAATAATTAATTAAAATTAATTTTTAAAAACAACAGTAACGGTAACGGTAACGGTAACGGTAACAATAACAATAACAATAACAATAACAATAACAATAACAATAACAATAACAATAACAATAACAATAACAATAACAATAACAATAACAATAACAATAACAATAACAATAACAATAACAATAACAATAACAATAACAATAACAATAACAATAACAATAACAATAACAGTAACAGTAACAGTAACAGTAACATTTACAGTAACATTTACAGTAACAGTAACGGTAAGGGTAACGGAAACAGTAACAGTAACAGTAACAGTAACAGTAACAGTAACAGTAACAGTAACAGTAACATTTACAGTAACATTTACAGTAACAGTAACGGTAAGGGTAACGGAAACAGTAACAGTAACAGTAACAGTAACAGTAACAGTAACAGTAACAGTAACAGTAACAGTAACAGTAACAGTAACAGTAACAGTAACAGTAACAGTAACAGTAACAGTAACAGTAACAGTAACAGTAACCGTAAAATATGAAAAAGAGTAATAATAATAATACTATAATAGTAATAACGATAATAATTTGTATTTAAATAAAAAATTTATAATTATAAATGAATGAACAAATTTCATAAAAAAATCTATTTTTTTAATTTCGTGATATTGGATTCGCTTTATTGAATTTTTAAAAAATGACTACATTTGTGATTAAAAACTAAAAAAATGCTTAAATACAAAGTTTTATAGTAATCTTATTTTTTTTTTTTGAAAATCCATAATTTTGTATTTTTTGAAAACTGCGACTAATTTAAATTTATTGAGTTCATAATCAATAATTTGACGTCAGTTAGTTACATTTTCATGTTATAAAAATGTGAAAATTCCATTTCCTTGATTAAATACTGCGATTAGTATTATACCATTTTCGTCAAAATTCTTTGAATTTAATTAAATCTTTTTATATTAAATAAATGGAAATTAAAAAAAAAATTATAACTAAAATAGTTTTTTTTTACATTTAAAAATAATGCAACGTTGCCAAATGACAAATAAAATAGTGAAAATTTGAGATTATGTTACACCACAATTTCTATAAATATTACGCAAAACAGAGATTCTTCATTACCGACTGCTGGTATATGGTAATAAAAAATGTTAACTTCGTATTGAGAAAATAATTATATTTCTGTTTTTACAAAAAAAAATAGTAATTTGAAGATACAATAATTACACACAGTTCTGCAAAAAATAATAATAATTTTTTGTCCGCTATAGACTAGACTATTTAATGGATTCAGATTTTTTTATTCTTTTGAGTTGCTGAATCCGAATCCATGGTCAGAATTCAAAAGTTGTGGTTCGTTATTTTTTTGTAATTTAAAAAAATATAATTTTTTCATACATATTTTGAGGCGTAATTGAAACTCTGACCGTAGATCCAATATGGCGGATCAAAAATAGAGGATATTTTAAAAATTAATTCGATTTACTTGAAACTTGGTACTCGGGGGTTTTCGGAGTCGCTGATTACAAATTTGGTGTTAGTTTAGTAAAATTCAAAATGGCGGATCCGCTATGAAGGAAAATAATTTTCAAATTAGTTAAATTCGCTTAAAATTCGTTAATTTATGATTTTTGATGTTACTTATAAAAAAAATTAATAAATTACTTAACAATAGATTCGATTTTTCGAATTAAAATTGGTAGATCCATTATGGTAAATCCAATATGGCGGATCCAATATGGCGGATATTTTAAAAATTGATTCGATTCATTTGAAATTTGGTACTCGGGGGTTTTCGGAGTCGCTGATTACGAATCTGGTGTTAGTTTAGTAAAATTCAAAATGGCGGATCCGCTATGAAGGAAAATAATTTTCAAATTAGTTAAATTCGCTTAAAATTCGTTAATTTATGATTTTTGATGTTACTTATAAAAAAAATTAATAAATTACTTAACAATAGATTCGATTTTTCGAATTAAAATTGGTAGATCCATTATGGTAAATCCAATATGGCGGATCCAATATGGCGGATATTTTAAAAATTGATTCGATTCATTTGAAATTTGGTACTCGGGGGTTTTCGGAGTCGCTGATTACGAATCTGGTGTTAGTTTAGTAAAATTCAAAATGGCGGATCCGCTATGAAGGAAAATAATTTTCAAATTAGTTAAATTCGCTTAAAATTCGTTAATTTATGATTTTTGATATTACTTATAAAAAAATTAATAAATTACTTAACAATAGATTCGATTTTTCGAATTAAAATTGGTAAATCCAATATGGCGGATCCAATATGGCGGATATTTTAAAAATTGATTCGATTCACTTGAAACTTGTTACCCGGGGAGTTTTTGGGGTCGCTGATTACGAATCTGGTATTATTTTTGCAAAATTCAAAATGGCAAATTCGATATGAAGGAAAATAATTTTAAAATCAGTTGAATTTGCTTGAAAGTCGTTACTTTATGGTTTTTGAGGATACTTAAAAAAAAAATAAATAAATTACTTGAAAAATGATTAGATTTTACGAATTAAAAATGGTAGATTCGCTATGGTAAATCCAATATGGTGGATCCAAAATGGCGTATATTTAAAAAATTGATTCGAATCACTTGAAATTCGTTAACCGGGGGTTTTTGGGGTCGTTGATTACGAATTTAATGTCAGTTTTGCAAAATTCAAAATGGCGGATCCAATTTGGATACAATTTTTAAAAAAAATTAGAAACATCAATAGTATTTTAAAAATAGATTTAAAAAAATTTTTTTTTCGATTTATTTCAAGGACAATGTGTTTATTCGGTTGCATATAGAGCCCATGGTAATATATATGTAGTTACTGTTTTTTTTTTAATTTTCTTCTTTTTTTTCTTTCTTCTTCCTTTCTTTTGAGACTTAACCAGATCCTTTGAGTCTCCAATACCATCGTCTCACCTCGTATATATATATATATACATATACACATTATTCTTTCTCTCTCTCTTTCTTTCTTCTACCGCAAGCAAAGTCGAGTGAGTATTTCACTCAACACAACTTGTGAACAGAGAGAAACATCGCATCGAAGCGGCACGAATTTCACGTTGTCAGTACACCGTGAGCCACCGACTGGCTCGTATTCAATTTTTCAAAAGACACGGTCTCCATTTTTCTGCTTCATTTCCGTCAAGGAAAGAAGACAAAAAAAAAGGATTTTTTTGTGTATAGTGAGAACTCAAATATTTTTATATAAGAGTGCAGTGCCAAGGCAATGTCTTTTGTGTAAATTTGCCCCAAAAAAAAAACTAGTGGATTGTTTTTTTTGTGTGTTTTCTACTCGAAAAATTATTATTATTATTATTATTCATCGAAAATTTATAATTTTGGTGAGTTTTCACTATATTTCAAAAAATGTTTTTCTTTTTTTTTAAAAAAAAAATCTTTTGATAATGATAGTTTAACAAGTGAAAGTTTTTCTGGGGGATTATCGAACAATAAAATCTGAAAGGAAGTCAGGATTTAGGTCTAAAATTGTACTGATCACGTGATACCCACTGACCTCTTTGTTATACACACAAAAAAACTTGGGAACAATTTGAAAAAAAAGAAAACAATTTGTGTTTTTTATTTCAATGTTCTAATTATGAATTACCTGATTTTTGTTACGTTAACTATTTACAATTAGGGATAATAATAATTTGACAAATTGTATCTAATTTTGATAACTGTTTCATGAATTGATTTAAACTTTTTTTTTTTTTTTGTTTATTTTGATCTGTATCTCACTAAATTTGAAATAGAATTCGTTCACTAAATTTAAATCAGTAGAAATTTTTACTATTTAGTAAAATATTACTATTTAGTAATATTTTTTTTACTAAAATTGTTTAGTGAATAATTTATTTATTTATTTAGTAAATTTTTATTAACTAAAAATTAGTAAAAATTTTTACTATTTAGTAAAATATTACTATTTAGTAATATTTTTTTTACTAAAATTGTTTAGTAAATAATTTATTTATTTAGTAAATTTTCAATAACTAAAAATTAGTAGAAATTTTTACTAATTTTGATTGGTAAATAAATTTAAATTCAAAATTTTAGTAATCAAATTTCATTCAAATTTTTGTTAGAAATTTTGTTTCAAAAAATTATTTGTTTAAATTTATTTAAAAACATTAATACAACGATTTTTTTTTTAAAGTAAATCGAATTTAAAGAGTTAATAAAATATTTTTTCGTATCTAAACGCGCGTTAATATCCGCCCCTTTTAATGAAAATTAGATAAAAAAAATATCCACATATTTTTTAGTAGTTCATTCAAAAATATTAATAAACGAACACAAAAAATGAAAAAAAAAGTAAAAAATAAACAAAGAATGAAAAAAAATAAATAATAAAAATAATGAAAGAAATATTTTTAAAAAACGTGAAAAAACAATAAAACAAAGAAAAATGAAAAATAACAATAAAACAAATGAAAAAAAAAGTACTAAAAGCAAACAAAAATAAAAAAAAAGCACTAAAAGTAAACAAACAGTGAAAATAAACAATATTAGAAAAATAAAACAGATAAAAAAAACGATTATAAAAAAAGGACGAAACAAAAGTAATAAATAAAATAATTGAAAAAAAAAAATTATAATATTGACAATAACAAAAAAAAAAGTGGTCACTTTTACTAACATTGAACCCAATAAACTTTTTAAGTTGCAAAAAAAAAATTTCTACTAAATTTTGAAAATTAAAAAATTTTATTTCAATTCACAAAAAAAATTATATCATTTTGAAACTAACGGAAATTTTGGTTGAGACAAAAAAAAAATTTTTTTTTGTCGTCAATGCAAAATATGTTTTTTTTTCAGTCTTGTCAGGAAATTAATCAACAATGCTTTTGCAATAAGCAAAATGAATGAAATAATAATAATAACAATAATAAAAATTACATAATAATAACAATAATATTTACTTCTTTATTTTGTAATTATTAATAACAAGAAATTAAAAAAAAAGTAAAGAAAGAATGACAAAAAAAATAAACAAAAAATGAAAAAAATAATAAATGAAACACAAAATTAAGAAAAAGAACAATAAAATAATAAAAAAAATAAAATAAAACAAAAAAACAAAGAAACAACAAGAATGAACAGTATACCTAACAAAAAAATTAATGAAAAAATACGTTGTGTGTAACGTAATGTAATAAAAAATTTTATCCAGAATATCCTAAAAAAATTATTTTAACAATAAAATAATAATAACAATAATAATAATAATATTAATAATAATAAAATATAAAATAAAAAATTAAATTATTATATATTTTTTCAATTTTTTTGAAAACTTTAAAATTTATTTTTCATTTTACATTTTATTCAAAAAAATTAATTTTTTTTTTTTTGTGATTGAAAGACTAGATTTCGAAATTAAAATTTACTGTATTAAAATAGAGAAAATAATTTATACAAAAAATATTTTTTATATGTAAAAATTATTAAAAAAAATCATTAAAATATTATTTTTTCAGTATAAAAATTATAAATAAAAAAGAAAAACTGTTTTTTATGAAATATTATAATTTTCATTCAAAAGTTTATTTTTGATTCAAAAATTATTTTCATAAAATACAATTATTATTTATTTCAAAGAATTATTATTATCTTTTATTGAAAAATTATTTTCAAAAATCATTGTAACATTATTTTTTTTTAGTAACGAAAGTTATTTAAAAAAAATCATTAAAAATATTTTTTTTTAGTATAAAAATTAATAATATAAAAAAAAATTTTCTATTAATTTAATTTTCATTCAAAACTTATTTTCGATTAAAAAATTTATCCATTAATTTCAATACCTATATACAATTATTATTTTTATAAAAAATTATTTTTTGATAAAAAAATTATTCTCTCTTTTTTATGGAAAAATTATTTTTTTTTTATTGAAAAACTTTTCTTTTTATTGAAAAATTATTTTTTTTATTGAAAAATTATTCCTTTTTTTCTATTTTATTAAAACAGTTATTTTCTAATTAAACATATCCAGTTATTTTTCAATCAAATAAAATTTATATTTCTCTCCTATTATAAAAATTTGATTGCATGTTTAAAAATAATTATTTGGTTTTAAAATTATATATGTATAGTATTTTTTAAAATAAAATAATCGTTTCTTATAAATGAACAAAAAGTAAATGAAAAAAAAAAAAATAAATAATAATAAAATGTGCAATTGAGGCAATAAGTATATTGCAATTTATCATTTCAGAGAGAAGTTGTCCTTTGCTGAACTATTTAAGGGACATCTTTCAAGTGGTCTCTTTCTCTCTTTTTAACAAGAGTTATTCTTGTTCTCTCAATTGAATCAAACTCGAATTTATATTTAACGTTCATGGATATTATTTTGCTTCCAATTATTCTCATTCATGTGTATCAATTCAAATAATCATATAATATACAACTCTAATATAGAGAATTTTATTTAAGCAATAATAATAAAAATTTAATGAAAAAAAAAAAATCAATTTCATATTGATATACTAAAATATGCTTTGACTTTTATTTTTAATTATTAAACATTTCGATTCTTCTATTTTCTTAGTTTAAAAATTTTTTTTCTATTAAATCCAATAAATATTTGTTTAATATTAATTAATTAAATAATTAAATTAATTTCAAAGAAAATAATGATAATAATATAATAATATATGTTAATAAATAATAACAATAATAATATAATAATAAATAATCAAGTAATAAAATATAAAACTAAATGAATTTCAAATTCAATTTATAACCTGACAGGAATTATTTTCACATAATTATTTAATTGAAAGGGAAATGAAATAGTTGAGATTTTCTATTAATTTTCAAAAATAGTAGTTTTAAAATAATTATACGCATCGGATATAAAAAATTATTTTCGACAGAAAAAGAAAAGTGCCGTTGAATATAATATAAATATATATATATAAGTTGAGAAAAACCGAAATAAGTGAACGCAAAAGAGTGGAAAGTATAAGTATATATATATATATATACATCTCACTCCTTTCTCGCGAAAGGTGTTTTTCTGGAAAATTAATATCCGCTCGCCGGACGTGAACCGTGAAAGGATCTCGAACTGAAACTGAAGAGATAGATAAATAGAAAGAAAATTATGATCATTTTTTTTCTTGGCTCTCAAAAAAAAGAAAAAAAAAAAAAAAAAAAAAATTATACGTACGCGTGAAAGGCAAACTGCTTGAATTCAAAAGTATAGTTCAAGTCTCAAGAATTGGTCACGCTTGAAACCTCTCCTTATGAACCTTTAAAACAACACAACCTACTTCATGCCCCCATAATTCGTATCACGTTTAAAATGTAGAATCACCGCACTTCCTTTTTATTTCACCGCAAAGAGAGTGACTGTGTGTCACTGACGCGTTATATATTATTATTATTATTGTGATCTTTCTTTGTTCCTTATAACAAAAAAAACAGTTTTATTTCATTTGATGAATTTCAATTGCGAAAAAACTTTCATTAAAAAAAATATTTTTTTACATTTATATGAGGAATAATTATTTTATTTTGGATATTTAAGTTGCATACAGTACAAATGCGCATGTTTTAATTGTATATTATGCTATTGCGCATGTCTAAATTTTGTAAATTATACTACTGCACATCTCTAAATTGTATCTTATTGTTTTGCGTAGGTCCAAAATGCATAGAATACTATTGCGCATGTTGGAATACGAAACTTTATTCTTTTGCGCATGTTTTAATTGTATATTATGCTTTTGCGCAGGTCCAAAATGTATAGAATACTGTTGCGCATGTTTAAAATTTCATACTACACTACTGCGCATATGTAAATTACTTATTATGCTTTTGCGCAGGTCCAAAATGCATAGAATACTATTGCGCATGTTGGAATACGAAACTGTATTCTTTTGCGCATGTTTTAATTGAATATTATGCTTTTGCGCAGGTCCAAAATGCATAGAATACTATTGCGCATGTTGGAATTCAATGTTTTATTCTCTTGCGCATGTTTTAATTGAATATTATGCTTTTGCGCAGGTCCAAAATGCATAGAATACTATTGCGCATGTTGGAATTCAATGTTTTATTCTCTTGCGCATGTTTTAATTGAATATTATGCTTTTGCGCAGGTCCAAAATGCATAGAATACTATTGCGCATGTTGGAATTCAATGTTTTATTCTCTTGCGCATGTTTTAATTGAATATTATGCTTTTGCGCAGGTCCAAAATGTATAGAATACTATTGCGCATGTTGGAATTCAATGTTTTATTCTCTTGCGCATGTTTTAATTGAATATTATGCTTTTGCGCAGGTTCAAAATGTATAGAATACTATTGCGCATGTTTAAAATTTCA